TCTGAACGTCTCGAACACGTCAGCCAGCAGGAGTACGTCCGTTCTCAAGTACAGGTCGTGGTAATCACCCAGGTTCCTGAAACCCAGTTTCTCCCACACATTCTGGGCGTGGTCGTAATCGCCCTGGGTGATGGCTGAGTCGGTCAAGTTGCTGTAAAATTCACTGATGGGGGGTAGTCGGGTCTCGGTGAACTTGACCCAGCTGTTCATGTACTCGTAGGGGTAAACACTCTTCCTCATCAGCAGGGGCCGAGTCTCGGCGTCGGTGTATCGGTCGGTGATGGGGAAGGTATCGTTGGCCTTGACCAAACTGTCGAGACGACAGTAGGAACTGAACTGAGTCTATGAACCTCAAGCCGTTCAGGGAGAAGGAGATGTATCTCTCCATGTTGTTGGGGATGCACGTCAGGTTGCCGTCGACCCTCGCGATGGCCTGCATGATCAGGTGAGAGTCGTACCCTCTCAGGTATTGAAAGACCACGGGGATGTTGATTGTCTTGGGGTTGATTCTGAGCTTGAGGTTGCACGCGCTGTGAGCTGCGCCTCTGTACTCCGTTGATGTGACAGTGATCTCTCACCGAGTCGCCATTCAGCGGGCCGTCGCACACTCGGCAGTGAGTGCTGCAGCCGTGAGCTTGCCGGTCGGCTTGGGTCATACGCATGGGAACGATGGTGTACAACCTCTTCCTGATGGTTTTCTCTTTGTGCTGCAAGCACCTTAGAAACTTTTCAGCCGCATAGGGACCCCTGTACACCACGGGAGCTTTCGTTTCCTCATCACATCGGACGACCACGTATCCGAACCCACAGGCCTCGTGCTCCTGTGTTTTGTGCATGTTGGGGGTCGGCCCGATGTCATCGTGTTTGACAAGGGCTTCGAAGTCGGCGTAGATGATGTAAGGTACAGACATCTGGTTCTTGTGATTGTTGAATTTTAGGACATTGTCGCCTTCCCTGGGCATGTCGATTCGTATGGCCGTCTGCCCCACGCCTAGGCAATCCCCCTGGTGTGATTCCAGCAGGTCGGCCCGGGTGAAGCCGTGCAGGCATCGTTCGCAAAAGTGTTTTTTCCCGTTGTATTTCGATTGGTTGTGCAACAGCCTGCTGAAGTGTTTTATCCACGCTTAGTGGCACTTGCCACCTCACTGGATCATGAATAAATTATTACGCAACGACCCCTCCATTGGGCTGACCCTGTGCATGATCGTTTTGTTACCTTCGTGCCCGAAGACGTTGAGGGCTATGGGGTTCTGCTTCTCGATTCTGGTGACCTGGGATATGGGGGTAGGTTTGTCTATACCGTCCCAGTTGAGCCCGTCGTCTTGGGGATAGCTCGTAGGTCTGTTCGAGTTAACGTTGGTCGGAAACAAGGCGGACCTGATAGCTACCCTCATGCAATCGTCCCCTCTGTTCTTGACGTTGACTATGGCTTGTTTTTTCTTGTAGTAGGGGGGTAAGTCTAGGTACGATCCGCCTCTGAACGGTACGTAGTTAGCTATGTCTAGATAGACCTTATCGATTTTATCCACGGCCCACCCGGACCCCCTGTGCGTGAAGCGTTCCAGGGACTCTCGTATCTGCTGAAGCGAGGTGTCGATGGACTCGTCTACCGTCTCGGGTTGAGTCACGACTTCTTGTTTACCCCGAAAGTAAGGCTGAACGTACTCAATGGCACCGTCCGTCTGCTGTTTATCAAGCGACATCTTTACCGTGATTTGAAACTTGAGACTTCCCAGGTCGTTCAGTTCCTCATTGACTTTGTCAGCGATCAGAGGCTTGACGTCGCCGATGTCTATGTTCTTGTCTACATGCATGCACCAGCCTCTCAGGTAGTTACCTACAGCGCGTTCAGTGCGCACGAACTGTAGATCGACGACTCTGTGCTGATGCAACAGTTCGACGAGCTCGGGTTTCCTCATACGGGAATAACCCGCCAGCCCCAGCTCTCTCGCTTGGAGTTTGAGTTGTTTCACCGTTGGAGGGGGTTGTATGTCTAGTAAGCTAAACAGCTGGGTTTTCCTCAATCGAGAGAAACCCACTACACCTCGTTCTCTTGCAATCTGCCTGAGCTCTCGGACAGTAGGCATTGTTATACCCAGGTGTATACAATCTCTAATTGGGTCACCGGCAACGGAGGTAACTCCTCCAACCTTAACCAAAAAATAAAGGAGGCGCCATAAAATCCTTAGTGGAACTTTGCCCTGAGCAGGTGGAGGACTGGTGCCAGTAGGTCCACTTCAGCTTTGTAATCGGCTATACTATGGTAGACCGTTTTGATTCTGCACTCAACCCGCTCTGATAGACCTGGGGGGAAGCGTTCCAGGTAGTCTTGTATGCTTCGTAATGAGGTGTTGAGGTACTTATCTAGCTCAGGTTGAGTCGTGATTTCTCGCCCACCTGTGATAGGGAAAGTATACCTGACGCCCCCCTTAGCCCATGCCACTCTCAGTGTGAACCGAAATTGGAAGGCGTTCATCCGCCAGCTTCTCAGGTACCCTTTCGGGGTTATAGTATGCACGAACACAGGCTCTCGGGTGGTACTCATTATTATACCTAGGTGTACACAGTCTTTAATTGGGCCACCGGCTAGGGGGCCAAAAAATAATGAGGGCCCTTACACTTCCATCCTGAGGAGGCGCCTGGGTCATTTTCAAAATTGGTAGGATTTTCAATTCTTTATTACAGTAAAATCAAACTCCTGAAAATTGATTTAGTTTTTATTCAAATGAAATCTCAAGTACTTAATTATTCAATAATACAAACATGCAGGCTCAAATTTACTAATTGACCTTTTAACAGATGCATAAGTAATTAATAGGGCGAGGGAAAGTCCTGACCGTTACCACATATCAGAATAAGGATTTTGAAAAATAATTCATAAAAATCTTTTAAAGATGGCATACACAGCTGTTACACTGACTTAATCAAACTTGAAGGCAAAAACTATTATCATGAATCTTGAAAGTGTTATTTTGTATCTTTCATTTATTTACCACAAAAAAATTGCATTTTTCTAAAACATTATTATGCATATAGCTTTCAACAGGTAAAATTGTCTAAAATAAACATCAGCTACTAAGCCCAGGACATCTTTTGATGACACCAGCATAAAGAGGAGTGTTTCATGTATTATCATGAATTAATTAGAGCAGTCAATTAACACCAGTAACGGTTAGGACAATAGTGGTAACGGTTTGGACAGGAATGGTAACGGGCTGGACATAAACCTTAAACAATTTAATTCAACATAGAAACAGGTAACACGAAAGGAAAAAATGATATCATTACTTCTATTGCTAACCCTATTTTGGACAGAGAGTGAAATGTGTATTAGAAATTGTAACTTGTAACAAATGTGACATGTTTTCTTCCATGCTGTGGTAACGGTTTGGACATTTGTTATATCAATATGAAACTTGTGAATGAATTTAGGCTTTTGAATAAAAACAAACTGTAGCTTCTAAAGAATAGAAAAACACACCTGTCTAGGTTGAAAATCACTTATAATCTAAAGAAGAGTGCAATTGGGGAACGAAAATTGAATGAATAGTAACGGTTGTGACATTATTGGTAACGGCCAGGCCATCAGTGTAACAAACAATGTTATCCCTCTAAAAAGTTGCAAAAGATTAAATTCTGAAAGGTACTGCAACAACTATGATACTGTGCTCATGGTCATGCTACACAGGCCACTGCATAGATATCATTTTGCTGTTGATATTATGGTGCAATATTAGCCTCCACGAAATATACTTCTTTCATTCACTCGGACACATTTAGTTTTTGTTAATCGTTAGATGGTAACACATATTTATCAAATACAAAGGTTTGGCCAACATATTAGCACCTAGCAAATATTCAAAGTAAATGGTAGCCTTACATATCTCACAGTTAAAGTTAAAACAGTTAACACCCAAATAATCTTTAAAGGTTGGAATAGAGAAAGTTGTTTACCGTTACTACATTTTGTCCAAACTGTTACCATAGATGTCCTAACCGTTACCTTTAATTTATAAAGACTATAGATCTTATAGAAAATAGAAACTTAATGTGATAAACTCGTTTTGGTTTTTTTTATTCAAAGCAGATAGATAAGTAAATAGAAAATTATTATCACACCATGGAACATATTCTTTAAAATTGAAATTTATTAAAGATATGTCCAGACCGTTACTATTATTTGTCCACACCGTTACTAGAGACTGTGTTTATTATGCTACTACATCAAAACTCCTTTGAACAGTAAAATTCCATGCTTAAACGTATCTTAACCCTTAAAGTAATTATAAATTTGTTATATTTCAAATATTAATTAACAACTTTTTGAAATACAAATCATTTTGTCCAGACTGTTACAAGGACTGTCCAAACCGTTACTTTGCACAATGGTAACGGTTTGGACAGTAACGGTCAAGACAATTTGTAAGTAAATCTAAAATAAAAAAATGAATGATCCCTAAAAGATTTCAAAGGACATGCCTTCCAACTCTTCCATTTCTGGGCAACATATCCATTGAAATTTAAAAAAAACAAAGAAATATATTTGCCACAAAATACATTGGTAACGGTCTGGACAATTAAGGTTGACACATTACATTTATACTTATTTGATGGTGTCAGTTTTCTGCAAAATGTGTTGAATTTCATTATTTCATCTGCTGTCACATGCACAGAGGCTAGCTCAAACAGACACGGGAAGTAGAATTACAATCCAGCTCCAGGGGGAAATTATTGCAGGAATTTCATACACTGGTAACAGTCAGGACACAAAAGGACAGGACAAGCATGTTACAATTTGTAGAAAAAAACTTTTGTAAGTTAAAACAAAATTAAATGCAGTTTGAGAATGCTTGATCAATCCTAATTGGCATAATATGAATTAGTTTGTTTATTTGCATTTATATTCACATTATTTGTGAACATTGATATTAGGACCGTCACCTCCGGACAGAGCAAATCTGCCAATTTTGACCCTAAAATGGGGCTAAATATACATTTCAAAATGAAAAGACTAATGATATACCACATTTACTGACTAGTAAACATCTTAATATGTTTTCTAGCACAAAAGAATCCTTTTAAGTTAACAGAGGTTTTTCTTATTTGGAACGGACAGAAAATCCTACCAATTTTGAAAATGACCCGCCTACGTTCGTTTATGTAGTCCTTTTTCCTCTCGTAGATAAGCTGGTGCCGGACTACGTTTGCCCCGTGGGCTTTACATAGGCCATAGTGGCATTTAACCCCGATGCCGCATACGGAGCACGTGTAGTTCATGAAACACCTCCTGTGGAAACAGCAGTACCCCTCAGTCCTGCATCTCCTACCGCAGGTCTCGGTCTTCCCTATAAGCATGTACTGACATCGATACAGGGCAGGTCTCATCGTGTATACTCATATGTGTACCTAGTTTAATTGCTTTGCGATCAATGCAGTCGCTGCTAGGCCTATCACGACGAAGGCCAGTTCTCGGTCCTTTTGCCCCCGGGCTGGGTGCGTAATACTGGGAGAGTGTGGGTTCCTCGAGAGGTTCGAGCTGTTTGCCAGTTAGCAGGTAGTATTCTTTCGCGGCGGCGGAGACGTCCTTGAACGTTCGAACGGCATGGTTCTCACGCTCGAGTCATTCGTTAATGTAATCGAGTCTCTGCATACGTTTCTTCGCGTACTCGGCTTGCGGGGCTTGTAGTTTCTCCAAGGCTATGTCGTGCCGTTTCCGTTCCGCTTCTACCTCGGCCGCGTTCTGCTCCCGTAGTTTTGAGAACAGGTAATTGCACCTGGAAAATATGCCTATATTTACTTCAAAATATTCCCCCGGTATGATCCCTTGCTTCACGAGGATGTCCTTGGTGGCCATCACCATACCCAGGCTCATGATGAGCATGCCCATATCCTGCAGGTCGAAATCGAGCTTGATAGTCGGTTGTTTGAGGACCATCTTGGTCAACCGAGCATATCCTACGGCTAGGCTGGCGACCACGGTGGCGTGGTATGCTTCGTTAACGAACGTTTTTCCCCTCAGACATGATGTATATGATATAGAAACATATATTTAATTACAACATAATATGGGGGTTGACCTCTAAAATGGGGTTGCAGAGGTGGGGGTGGGGTTGGCTTTGGGGATTTACGATGTAGCATGAATAATGAGAGAGCCGCAGCAGCTGCGCCTGCAACCCACAGAGTATAGTTACTCTTGTGATGCTTAGCCAAACCACCTTTTCTACCGGCGGCGACTCTCTTAGGGTTCTTCTGCTCAGTGATTTGTGCCGGGGCCTCCTGTGTCGGGGTTTCCTCCTCTATCGGAGTCACTGGCTGGGCAGCATCCATTTTGTATACTATTACTATTATTATTCCCCTCTCCAAATTGGCAATGCTTCGCCGTGATGATCGCCGCGTGTTCGATAAAGGGGTCCTTCTCAAGGTCCTCCCACAGGCAAAGCCGGCGTTCCGGGGGAATGGGGAGGGAGTACGACGCCAAACCGGTGTAGATCTGTGTCATGGTCGACCCTATAGTCTTCGTCATCTCGGCCCTGAGCCGGGACTCGTATCTCGCGTACAGCTTATCGACCTCATCGGCGGGTAGTTCCTGAATCTTATCGGGGCATAGTCCCCAAAGTATTGTTTGGCCTTGCCGCCGACCGCCAGCGCCACCAGTTTCTCTCGCTTGTCGTCATCAGGCCGCTTATCACCCTCCACCAACAGTTGTTCGAGCAGTTCGTTGCACTCCTTCCTATAATGTAACAAGCGATTCTTAACACTAATGATATAATAACCGATGCATGCGAAACACGGCGAAGCATTGCTTCACAAGCCATATAGAACTGTAACTTTTAATTGCTAAGCCATTGCTAAGCATTGGTCAGCATTTGCTCAGCATTACTCAGCATTGCTTGGCAATGCTTAGCACTTGGTAAGCCACGGGTTGGTCGGTCTTGAGCACGAGCTTAGCATGCTTCGTCTCGGCTAGCTGCCTCTTCACCCGTTCCCGTTCTAGTTTGCTCATCACGTTGTTCTCCCTCAAACATTCCTTGAACGAATCCCTGTCCTTGCAGTGGAATAAGGCTACCCATCGCGTCTGTTCCCTGAGGTCTTTCAGTACCGAGTTGAACTTCTGCATCAGCACCCAGACGCTGTGCTGAGCGTGCCGGCCGGAGAAGGCTAGGTATGATAACATGTCTCTCTTTTTTTGTTATCTCTTTGTTGGCGCTGCAGTCGTCCAGGATGAACAGCGTCGACTCCCCCTTGAATTTACCGTGGTAAGCCTTCAGCCAGTCCTGCAGGTGTGTTCCCGGGTCGACTCTGTGCACGTCCGGGTCCGTCATCACCCAAGGTCTTTCCGTGTACGTCCTGTTCAAATGTAGAGTAGGGCTCATGATAACAATGTTGTCGAAGGTGTCCCGGTAGTACCCCTCCAGCATATCCAGCACGAAAACGGTCTTCCCACAACCAGTCTGCCCGCACCGTACAGTGCGGGTCGCGGGGTAGATCAATAGAAGGCTTGCACGAATCTCCCATTGTCTATATTAAGCTGCGCGTCCATAATCACGTACAGATATAATTTCAACTTGCCTGCAGGTTGAGCCTTCTTGGTAATCTGGACGGTTATCCCCTCGCTGCCGTTGTCGATGCGGCATCCGCTGTCGTGCAACCGATCGTCGTCCGTGGATCGCATGTCCAACCATAGCGCGTACTTGGTGGTCAGGTATTCCCCGATCTGCACGGAGGATAGATCCAGGTCCTTGATGACGTGTTGGTGTCGGGTCGGTAGCTTCGTTATCTCGTCCCACTGCTGGTGTGCCCTCTTACCATGGCTGAACAGCTGGTTGGGCACGCCCTCGATAGTCACTTCCACCTTCGTGATCTCGGGGTTGAAAAACTTCTCGCTGTCCCATCGGAACGGCTCGTAATCCTCCACGGGGGTTGATCAGGATGCCTTTCATTGATCGCGCCGGCACGTTCAGGTTGATATTCCACACCGTGTCGCTCTTATCCCGTACTACCATTCTATGCCGCAGTATGCGGTCGTACAGGATGGCCACCTTCCCCGAGTACTGGTTTTGAACCTGATGGGCCAGCTCCGGGCTAGTGACCATGTCGAACTCCAGAGAGATGTTGTCGATGGTGTAACTGGCCTCATCACCGTTCGGCGTATGCATGACTTTGCTGTAGTCGTTGAACGCGAGGTCGTATTCAAGTCTATCACCCAGCTCGGCCTGGTAAAACGGCGCGTGCCCATTGAGCAACTCGAAGTCGAGCGGCACGCAGAACCTGTTCCCGTACGCTTGGGCGATGGCCTTTTCACCCACCGAGACCTTGTCGAGCTGGTCTTGCGTGAAGCCATACCCGACGCGCAACCTAGTCGACTTACTGATGCCTTGGTATACGTCGTTGACGCGTTCTCCCTCGCTTTTCCAGAGGTCACCGTAGCAGTGAAACACGTCGCTGTCGTCGATGCACAGCACCTCGTTGCCACTGATCTTGATGGTGGTCTTCTCGACGATGGCCCGACCTACGTTCCGCACGAGCTCGCGTTTGTCATTGTCGGAGGTCAACGTGAGGTTGAACGCCAGTCGAACCGTGCCGGGCACGATGAGGTCGTTCTCGCCCAGGTTGGGGAATCGAACCAGCAGCGTTTGGTTCTGGTCTATCTTGCTGGGATTGTTGGTGATGGTCACCGACTGGCGCACGGCTCTGGCACCTAGAGGCTCCCTTGATCTCCGGAAAGGGTTTAGCTTCCTACCGTAAGACATTGTTATATATACATGAAATATATAAGTTTAACATAATTAAATATGGCTGAAGGTGGTGGTTACGAAGACATCCCGATGGATGACTTGTGGGATGATAGTGCCCCCTGGTTAGAGGAGCAGGAAACCTCGTTCACGCAAGTCAACGAACTCATGAAGCAGGCAGGAATACTATGACGAGTTGAAGCGTAAACACAACGTCGAGCTGTTGGGGCGAGACTATTCCAAGTTCACCCTCGACGAGAACGGCACGCTGTGATTGAAGGCTCACCCGGAGATCAATCTTGTGAGCAAACGCACAAGAGAACCGCTTGCCAATCGACACTCATCAGTCGCCATGTCGGGCAACTGATCCGCGATGCACTAAACCTCATAGATTATCGTCCCAAGCTTCCCCCGAAGGTCGTCCAAGATCTGCAAGCTACCAACGTGCCATCGAACAATTGTTGGCCACGTACCATAACAAACCCTTGTCCGGGTAAAACTGCCTCGTGGCTCGGGCAAAACCTGTGGGCAGCCATCGTTGCCGTGGCCAGGCTGGTGTACGTCGCGGCTAAGGAATTTTTAACCAAATGAGGCCGACCGCGATCCCAGCGACCACTAGTTTTACTATCGAGGTGTTCCTTGTTCTCAGCCACCTCACGTGGTGGAAGGGGCTGTGGGGATGCGGACCGAACCCTGGGCTTCGGGGGTGGTACGACTATGCCCGTTTCACGGGTTGTGGGAGGTGGGACGTGACTCACGTTGATGCCTGTATTGACACCCAACTTCTGGTCGGCCATGGCGATGATGATTTCGTTGTTGTAGCCCACCACTTAATTGACTCTCAGTTGCATGTCGCTCGGGCCCATGTACAGTCCCACACCGAACACGTAGTCAACTTTAGACCGGGCGTATTCCAATACGTTTTGGTAGCGTTGGATGGCACTCGGTAGATCAACAGGTGCATTAATAGCATCCTCGACGTTAGCCCCGAACTGTTTCTGAGCGTCGTAAGCAGTCCCGGCGCCCACGATGCTGGAACGCGTTTGCGTCTGTGCACCCACCAGCGCCCACACGTACGTTCGAATCGAGTCGTTCAATCTGGTGACACCGGCACGAGTAAACCCTTTCGACCTGTCCAGCATGAAAATTTTCCAATCGTCCGCAGTGGGCTGCTCCACTTTCTGGACGGTGAAAGCAACACCACCTTGCTGTGGCGTCCGCAATCACATAATCGACGGCTACTACAGCGTACGCTCGCTAAGCGATGAAGTCTTCGAGCCCGTGGGAGCCGAACTCAAGATGAACGACTCAAACGGCACAGTGGTGTTAACCAACAACGGAATAAACCCCTTGAGGCTCGGCCGACCATTGGCGAGGACACTCGGGCTGCCGCCGGACAAGATAAAACCCACAA